TGGCATGGTAGCTGGTACAGAGCTGTGCGAAACGCAGCAATTTCACCTTCAAACGCAGAACTTCGGCCCACAGGAGTAAAAAGAAAATTTCGAGAAAACTCCGCACCTGCATTAGGGCCATCAGAAAGGGCCCAAAAGCCCCTCTGCTGAGGGTAAATGTTTAATACTTCGAAAGCGAGGGCTCTCAAAATAGAGGTACCGTATTACGTTTGGTACTTTTGCCTAGGTCAAGATAATCCAGAAAGATTTCAGATTTATTGGATTTTGTAGTGGGAAAAGTTTCTGGTTCATTTATTAAACCAAATGCATTTTTTAGCTGAAAAACTCTCTGTAGAAGCCCATCTGGGTCTTTAGATTTCTAGTCAGATCTTGATTGACTTCATTCCAGAGTGAATGACATCTAGGAACTCTAATGATCCTGACCCAGAGAATTACGGCCTTCTCTTGAATTACGGTTCTTAAAGGTTTATCACCAGTTAACACAAACATGGAGTCAATCGGGGTGGTCTTCACGGCTCCAGAAACAATACGTAAGCACTGATTTTCGATTTTTTCTAGAGTATAGAATACATTTTCCACGGCCACAACAAGTGGTTCACAGCAGTAAGTCAGAAGTGGGAGGATAAACGAATGATAAGTTTGGAGCAGAGTTTGTCTAGTGCAACCCCACCTTGCCCCAGCAAGGCGTTTCAGGATACTGAGTCTCTTCGTAGCACGGTTGGACATGTCCTGTACATGTGGATTCCATGTTAATTTCAAACGTCACACCCAGATATTTAAATTTATCGTACAAGGGGATTTGGGTACTCTTATACGTCAGCTGAAGACACCAAACTTCCAAAGCATTCAAGGCAGCAGAGAGGTTAGTATCTATGTTTTTCACTGCAATTTCTTTTTTAGACACTTTCCAGAAAACCAAATCATCAGTGTATAAGAGGCACTTGACGCCAGAAATCTCTCGTATTTTATAAATCAAATCATTAATTTAGATGTTAAAAATGGAGCAGCTACTAACAGCTCCCTGTGGGAGACCTGTTTTTAAGATCTTAGATTTCGATAGAGCGTTGCCGTACTGGCACAGAAAGCCACTAATCCAATTAAAAAGATTTGCTCTAATGCCTAGCCCCGACAGTTTCAGTAGGAGGTACTCACGCTATACTTTGTCGTAGGAAGACTGGAGGTCAATAAAAACTGCGGTCAGGCCCTGTCTATTATCCAGAGTGTCCTTGACAGATTGACTCAGGAGGGCAACATGTTGGTTAGTAGATCTGGAGCTTCTGAATCCCACCTGCTCCTCGGCAAGAGGTCCGCAAGTTTCTAAAATAATTAAGTCTTCTCACAATTATTTTCTCCATAGCCTTTCCCATAATAGTACTTGTAAGCGATATTGGTCTCTAGTTACGGAGACTATCCCAATCTTTGTCTTTCTTAAGTATGGGAATAATGATAGACGTTCGCCATTCAGCTGGTACAATACCAATGTTCCAAATTAGATTGAAAAAGATCCAAACTGTCTCAAATGCTTTAGGACCAAGATGGAGAAGAAACTAAGAATGGATTCTATGTCCACTAGGTGATTTTCCACAAGGAAGGCTTCTTAAAGCATAGGTCAATTCGTCTTGAGTAATGGGTGCCTCAAAAACTGAATTAGTAGAAAAATCAAATTCCGATTGCAGAAGTGTTGTTTTTTGCTTAATTCTGGACGAATGTATTTTTGCGTAAGTGTTTTTGTTATTAGCTCTACAGAAATGTTGTGCAAAAGCATTCGCTACAGAAGACTCTGAAGAAAGTTGTTTATCTTTAACTAGGGAGGTTTGTTTAGGTGAGCCAGCAGGATCATTCATTAGGTTGCCTACAAATTTAAACGTTCTTTTATTATCAGTTTGGTAATTTATTTTTGAAATAAATTCATTAAATGAGGATCGTTTACTGGAAATAAGGGCCTTTCTAAAGCATGCAGATTGTTTTCCCCCAAGCCTGAACATCGCAGGGTCGAGAGGTCAACTTTGCCTTTCTTCTAAGCCTGTCTCTCTTAGCTTTCAGGAAGGTCAGTTCATCTGTCCAGAAGTATTTATATTTCTTTTGCTTCCTCTAGGGATGGACATTTTAGCACAAGATATCATTGTGTCCTTGATAATTCTATAAACTTTGTTAGGATTTAAAGTAAAGTTTACTATGATTAAGGCCATGTTCCATCAATTCAGTAAAGAGAGGCCAATTCGCTTTCTTAAAATTCTAAGAGACCTTTGATGGCGAAAAAGGTCTCTGATCCGCTTTGGGTATTTTAACTTCTGCAAGCACCTGTCTGTGTCCTGATCCAGGATCTTTCAAGACGTTATGCTTTGTGAGATTGTAAAGGTCAGCAGTGACTATCAACAGATCTGGGGTTGTTCTTTTACCAGTATAATGCAGATAGGTATGGGGATCCTTTTTATCATATAATAGTTCGAATGTAGTCGAGCTCAAGAGGTCCTGGACACTCCTTCCAGCTTCATTTATGTCAGAATATCCCCACTTGGGAAAATGAGCGTTAAAATCTTCAAAAAAATAAAATGTTTTAAATGATTAACATAGGAAAAGTCAGGATGGTTATAATGAGGGCTGTATATAACTAGAATTTTAAAATGAGCCTCACATTTCCAGACATCGAAATGTACGACTTCACTCCTATCCCCTTCAAAACTCATCTCTTTTATGATACGAAAATCAGCTGTTAAATCTTTCTTGACACCAGTCAGTATACCACTGGCAATTTTTCTAAATTTTGTAAGTACGTGAAGAGAATATCCTTTAAAAGGATAGTAATTTTAGGTTTTCGATAGTCAAATTAGCTTCCATGATAATAAAGACATCAATGTCCTTTTCACACAGAATCTGCAAAAGCTCCTCACGCTTGGATTGAGACAGTCCGCCAGCATTCCACTGTAACACTGCAACTCTCGGGTGCGCTGTAGATCTAACTCCTCGTGGTGTACCTGGCAACACTTTATAGTGGGCTAAAAGATCTACAACTGGCATTATGTCTCCTCCTCCTCGGATTACCACTGAAAGAGAAGTTTGATTTTTCCCTTCCTTTCGCGAAAAATATTAAATTGTTCGTTTTCAATAAATAATTAGCTATCAGCACCGAATCCCCCATCATTTGTAATATTTCCCCCTTTACATGGAAATCCCAAACAGATCCGTGGCAACTGGAGATTTTATAACATATGACAAAGCCGGAAAATTGTCTGTAGCATTTGTTCTTCTCAGATGTTTTGAATGTGTGGTACTACTTTTCAGAGAGGCTTTACTGTACTTTTTTTTTTTTTTTTTTTAAATAATGCTGCGAAAAACATAGAAGAATTTTAATTATGAACTTAATTAAGTAAATTTTGTCTTCTTACTAAACATATGAGCCCTTTTCAAAGATTATCTGCTCACTGAATGTAATTTTGAAATTTTGCTTTAATTAAAAACTTTCTGACATTAAATAAAATCTCTTTTTAGCCCTAAGGGCGTTAGACCAGAAGGGCTATTAATTTCGTTTGGGCATTTTGTGTCGATTCACTATAAATGTCGGTTCACTTTTCAAATTGTTGCCACAAATATTATCGCCCCGGGTTATATTTAAAGAAATTAAATAATGAAAAACTGAAACATAGAGCCATGCAATTTTGAATAACGTACGTTTCCACCCGAATATGGACATCTGGAAGCCCAAATGTGGAATTTGGAATTTGTTTATTCTCTGTTTCATATTTTGTAAAACTTTAACGAAGTTTTGATTAAGAAAGTCAACGATTTCAAAGCGAGCAATGGCAACACTGTACGGGGAAAAAAAAAAAGGAAATTCTCATCTCCAGCGCGCGAGACTGTATCTTGGAAATTCTAAAGCTTTGCTCATTCTAAAATTATTTTGCGATATTGCCATTTCAATTTTATGGTTTAAGTGCGAAGAACGTGATATTTAATAAAAAAAGGTAACACAAACTCACTTGGGGAAAAAAAAAAAAAAAACGTTTAAAAAAATGCCCTTTTGGGCGCAATGTAAAATATGGAAGCTTTCAGATTTTTTTTCCCTTCTAATTTTTATATAAAGAACCTAAGATTCGGGAGATATGAGGTGCTTTTACAATTCGAGGAGATTCGTGAAAATTTAGGGATAATTCCAACTTTACATTTCTTGCTTGAATTATAGCTAGAATAACTGTCAAATGGTTGTTCCTAGAGCTTTATTTTCTTTCTTTGGAAATTTCTGCCAGTGCATGAGCAAGAAACCATGAAAAGTAATTTTTATCATAATATACGCTTGAATGCTATGAGCTATGAATTAATGGTCATAAGACATGTGAAGTTGCTCCAAGCGATAGTACGTAATGGTTGGTAACACCTAGAACAATAGGACATAAGAAACTTCCAAAAGGTAGTAAAACCGAATAGACTCTCCAGTTTATATTTCTCCTTGGAGTTTTTACCTTTCTTTTTAAATTTATTATTATTATGATTTTTATTTCTACAATTTATTCCAAGTTGATTTATTTATTTATTTACTTTTATTTATTTACTTTTATTTATTTATTTATTTTAGATACAGAAAATTAAAACAGACGATATTTCAGTCCTTTTCAGAGAATCTGAGGAGATATAAAATCGCATTTTTGGAATCTGCTGTTTTTGTATCTGTATCGACCTGTTATCTAGCACACACTAGTAGTTTAGAATACAGAAACATTGCTTCAAGGCAGGAATATGTTTGGTTTGGTTTAGCACTCGTGGGCATTCTGCGCTAGGAGAGGGATGCCTTCGTGAAGGACTTTCTAAGAGAAATTGCCTCATATACATGTTACACATGGGGCAAATCGCGAAAACTACCATGCAGTCAGCCCGTTGGCCGAGTTTCGAAACCCGGACCGAACTACCAGTGTTCAGCGACTTTACCGCTAGGTCGCTAATGGGCCTCAAAGCAAAAGTAACTCAATGAGATGTGAAAATTAATAGTGGTCAAAAACTTTCAGTCTGTATTATATTTCAACAAGACCAGAGAAAATTCAGATATTGATTCTTTAACCCTAGAATGACAACTACAGAAAAATAGCTTTGATCGCCAATGAGAAATTTGAATGTTAAATTGTTTCTTCCATTCTTCATGAAGTGTTAAAATTCAAAACACGAAAGCTGATGTAGATAATAATCTCCAAAGGCAGAAAATGGAATTCCATCCTTCCCATCCATCCGTGCATTGCTTAAAAGTTTTACGGCATTTTTAAATGTCTCCCGCGCAACCGGTATAGTGGTTAGCGTCCCTGACTAGCGTGCTGAAAGGCCTGGGTTCGAATCTCAGAGAAGCCATGGATGTTTATAAATGTATAATGTCCGTGCGGCATGGGAGCACTCTAAATATGCGGCGAGCCGAAAGTCATCCCGCGAGGTTGGTGGTAGTGGAAAAGGGGGAAGACCCTCGGATCCGTCTTTCCGGGGTGCTCTTTATAAAATTTGGGGGGGGGCGGAACTGAGCTAAATCGTACTGTCACCTATGAGGTGCTCAAGGCTGTTGCCAATAACAGGCGTAATCTTGCGCTCTTTGCCACTAGGAATTTCGTGGGCTTGGGCTGACTATGTCAGACAAGTTAGCATAAGCAACAACAACAACAAATATCTCCCAAAGAAAAATTTTTTGATGGCCTTATTGATATAATTTCATTGATTTTGGATTCTGGCAAATTAAACAATATTGCAACTTCAGG